TCTATTCTATTCTATTCTATTCTATTCTATTCTATTCTATTCTATTCTATTCTATTCTACCTTATTCTTTTCTATTTTCTATTCTATTCTATCTTACTCTTTTCTATTTTCTTATTCTAATTCTCATTCCACAAATAAAAAAAAAACCCAATAATTATAATTCTATTAACAAAGCCTCGCTTGCTAAAGGAAAGCCTGGCCAAAGCAAACCCTTTGATTAACCTACCTTGCTATATTTTTGGAAGGTGAAGTCCGACACATTATCCCCAGGATTGATTAGGCATTCCAGAGTCACATTGTTGCCCTCAAGGATGGGGCCCTCCTGGTCAATCAGACGGATGGTGGGGATGCCTGGATTATAAAGGTGGAAGGAGAGGATTAAGTAGCACAATCTTTTTTCTTCTCCCTGTGTCATTTTTTTTCTCACTTGGAGCAGCCCTCCAACCCACCATTTCCCTCCCACCTGCAGATTTAAGATCTCTAACCCTTCCTTCTCCAATTTGGGGGGTGTTGCTCCTTACTGTTCACCCATAGGCTCAATCCAGTAGGAGAACAACAGAGGTGGAAGGGACCTTGGAGGTCTTCTAGTCCAACCCCCTGTTATCATTCCGAACAATCTCTTCTTGAAAACCTCCGGTGATAAGAGCACCCACAACTTCAGAACGGCAAGCCCTTCCCACAGATTAACTGTTCTCACTGTCTGGAAATTTGTCAGGATCTGTTAGGAAATAGCAGCATGGAAAACAGTGGTGGAGAGGATCACAGATAGTAGGATCCTTGGTGCTCCTCTGAGCTTGATGGTTTTCTTGCAGACATTTCATGGCATTGGTGTTACCTAGTTGGGTCACCAGCTCAGAGAGCATTAAGGACCTCACAGTCCTCCTCCTTCCCCCCTCCCTCCCTCCCTCCTCCTCCTCACAAGCTCCACTCCCTCTGACCCTGATGACGTTCCCTAGTTGGGTCATGAAACGTCCGCGAGAAAACCACCAAGCTCAGAGAGCAGCGTTTCAACCCTGAGGCTACAAATACTTCCTTCTCTAGAGACCATGGAGACTCAAGAAAACAAAGGCAAAGGATCGTTGAACAAATCAATCTGGAGTTCTTCCTGGAAGCCTGAATGGCTAGGCTCAAAATATCCCCTTTCAGACACACATGACGAGGGAGGCCTTGCTGTGCAGAGAAGGGCTGGAGAGGTAGAAGGGAAGAGAGGCAGCCGGATGGATGGGCTCACAGTTACAGTGGTAATGGGGCAGGGGTGGTATTCTGGAGAACCGGTAGTGGAAATTTTGAGTAGTTCAGAGAACCGGCCAATCCCACCTCTGACAGGCCCCGCCCCCATCTATTCTCCGCCTCCTGAGTCCCAGCTGATTGGCTGGGTCTTCTTTGGTTGCCCTGCACAGGAGAACGGAGCTGGAAAGCAGGTCAGTGGGGTGGGGAGGGAATGGGGATTTTGCAGTATATCCTTCCCCTGCCACACTCACCAAGCCACGCCACACCCACTAAGCCATGCCACACCTACTAAGCCACTCCACGCCCACCATGCCACACCCAGAGAACCGGTAGTAAAATTTTTTGAATACCACCACTGTAATGGGGCAGGGGGCACAGTTTGACAGACCTGATAGACCAGGTTAGGGACCAATTATCATGGAGAAAATCCATCTGCAGGAAGTCCTCGACTTACAACCCTTCCTTTAGGGACCACTGAAGTTATAACAGCCTCCCAAAAAATGACTTACGACAGGTCGTTGCACTTAAAACTGCTGTAGCATCCCCACGTTCACTTGATCGAAATCTGGGCGCTTAGCAACTGGCATGTATTTGCAACAATTGCAGTATCTTGGGTGTGTGTGTGGGGTCATGAGATCATCATTTGCGACCTTCCCAACCACTGGAGACCAAACGAAGTCGATGGGGTAGGCTGGATTCACTTAATGACAGTATGATTCGCTGAAAAACGAGAGTGACTTGTGGTAAGAACGTCATAAAATAAAGGTATGGCTCACTGACGATTCTGGTGCCAACTCTGGTTGTAAATTGAGGACTGCCTGTAGGACGTGGCTTAGAGTTAATACTGACTTGATGGCACATAATCAATCAATCAATCAATCAATCAGTCAATCAATGCATCTCTTGCTACCCGCCAATAGATTAGCAAGAAGAAAACAAAAACTTCAAACAATCCCATGGCCCCAAATTCTTTTTTTATTAATCAGCAGCGCAGATTAACAAAATTGATCCTATTATATCTTTTGCAACAACCCTACAGAGAAGCACCTGTATCCCCAAATTTAAAAATTGAGAATTGAGGTTGGGAGAAACTGGCTAGTCTAAAACCACATTTTCTCCCATCTGCTTTGCCTCTGACACTAAGATCTTTGGCAGTTTTCTACTTTGAGTGTTGCACCAGGATGGCTCAGAGTGATTGGTGTTGGAGTGACATCCGATAACTTGAGTTATCTTCACTTTTAGAAGCTTTGTGGGTGACTCTGGGCCAATCACACCCTCTTTGTCCAGCCAACTTCCTAGTTTATTATGGAGGGGAAAGGTGAAGGAACACTCAAAAATTTACAAAATTGCAACCCCGAGCTTGCAAATTTTGACACCTGCTGCAAATTCTGCTGTGCTAACCAAAGACAGGATATCAATCTAACCAACCAGCAAGCCAGTATAATTCAAGAATTCATGGTTTTAATCTTGCCTTGACATTCAGCGCAACCCAGGAAAAGTTGCAGGCAAAAGTGAAATCTGGGATGTTTCGCTGGAGATAATTCAGGACAGTTTACTTCTTAATAACAGCCTCATTTCTTCCCCCTCTTTGTTTTTCCTGCTGAATGTTTTCTTCACATAGATCTTACAGATCCGGCCCTTTAATCCAAATGAACTTCAATTCAAGGTCAAGCAAAAGAGCATTTTTAAAAAGCCTTTTGCTACCATCCATGGCAGTGGTGGGATTAAATTTTTTTTACTACTGGTTCTGTGGGCATGGCTTGGTGGGCGTGGCTTGGCGGGCATGGCAGGGGAAGATTACTGCAAAGTCCCCATTCCCTCCCCACCCCACTAACCTGCTTTCCAGCTCTGTTCTCCTGTGGAGAGCAACCAAAGAAGACCCAGCCAATCAGTTGGGGCTCGGGAGGCAGAGAATAGATGGGGTTGCCAGGGCCAGTCAGAGGTCGCATTGGCCAGTTCTCCAAACTACTCAAAATTTCCGCTACTGGTTCTCTAGAACTAGTCAGAACCAGCTGAATACCACCTCTGATCTATGGGGTTTTCTTGTCAAGGATATGGAACTGGGCTGCCATGTTTCACTCTAATGGACCATGTTTGTTAGAACTTTTTACTGTGACCTGTCCATCTTGGTGGCCTTGCAAGGCTTAGCTCATAGACATCTCTGAATCGCACAAGCAACTTTGCCACAACAAAGCAGTGATCCATGAAGGTGGAAAACACCCTTCATCAACTTTTAAATTAACAAATCAGTAATGTATTTTTGTTGCTTTTAGAAACATTTATGGTTTTATTGCTTTTAGCGTTCTAAGGTGCCCGGAATTGCTTCGAAGCTTCAAGATAACGTGAAGTATGAATACCACTTTATAATGCCTTGGTAAGGCCACACTTGGAATATTGCATTGTATTGTGATCACCACAATATAAAAAAAAGATGTGGAGACTCTAGAAAGAGTGAAGAGAAGAGCAACAAAGTTGATTAGGGTAAAGAGGCTAAAACATATGAAGAACGGTTGCAGGAACTGGGCATGTCTAGTCTAATGAAAAGAAAGACTAGGGGGTGACATGATAGCAGTGTTCCAATATCTCAGGGGCTGCCACAAAGAAGAGGGAGTCAAGTTATTTTTCCAATGCACCTGAGGGCAGGACAAGAAGCTATGAATGGATGGAAACTAATCAAGAAGAGAAGCAACCTAGAATTAAGGAGGAATTTCCTGACAAGCAAGCCACTAAGACTAACCTGAGCACAAGCAAACCCCCACCTGAACAGAACACACCCCCAGCCAATCAGAGCACAGTCAACCCCCCAGCCAATCAGAGCACAGCCAGGCCCCCAACCAATGAGAACACACCCCCACCCAGTCAGAACACAGCCAAGCCCCCACCCAATCAAGTCACACACCCCACTAGCAGTTAAAAGGAAGAAGCAGCTGCAAGCTCACATTACTTCGAGAAGCACAAAGCCGAAGACACAAGCCTGAAGATGACGAATGAGACTTCATCGAAACGTCGCCTAGATACTTCCAATTTTACGCGGGAGAAAACCCGAATAACCAA